TGCAACCAGATATTCAACTCAAATAAGATTTAATCATGCTTCTCCACTTTTCTTTTACTAAGACCTATCTTACCAAAGAAAAATTTGCATTGCTTCATGCCATATTCATGTCATCACTTTTTAGCAGTAGATACATTTGTGTATTTTCTAGGATTATTTTCTAGGATGAAACACAGGGAGTACAATTAGATCAAAAATCTGACAAACACCTTGTGAACTCACCAAGAGTTCTCAGCAATCCAGACATCGACACATTATTTGCAAAAAACAAGGTCAAATATCCAACTAGTTTTATGGGTTTGTTGCCCTCTTTGATGTTTTAATAAAAATATATTTTTAAAAAGTTTTGTTACTTGTATACATTCCTCTTCACTCAGTGGCCCTGGGCAAGCCAGAAGGTTGGCCACCATGATCTATTAGGCTTAAATTCTAACAGGAGTTTTATGTCTTTAGCTCTTCTAAAGGGAATGTTTTCTTTAGCTGTACTTTTATTTTCTCAGAAAACATCTAACCAAGAAGAAAAGTCACTTCTGTCTGTGTTTCACCCAGTAATACAAATGAGATCATTGTGTTTTTTGTGATAGTCCCAGGAGTCCACGTGTCAAAATAAACTTCATAAAACTTTCAGAGAATTAAAACATCCACAGAATCTCTGAAGTATACTGTAAATATGAAGCTTCCCTTTGTAAAATTGTGAATGTGATTTCTAGCCTTCGCTATCAGGAGATCAGAAACATCATGGTCAGGAGAACTAAGAAAGTGATTGTCCCCTTGTACTGATAAGACTACAGTCCAAATACTGTATTTGGCTTTGGAGCCCTGGATACAAGGGCACAGAGTTTCTGTCACATCTTCAGAGAAGAGCAACAAAGCTGGTGAAAGGAATAGAAAACAAGACAAATGCGGACTGCTGAAGGAACTAGGGCTGTTTAGACTGGAGAAGAGGGGGCTACAGGGAGACCTCAATGTTCTCTACAACTACCTGAAAGGCTAAAGTGAGGTAGATGGTAGACTCTTTTCTCAGGTAACAAGTGAAAGGATGCAAAGAAATGGTCTCCAGTGGACCAGAGAAGGTTGAAATTGGGTATCAGTAAGAATTTTTTTCATGAAGACAGTTGTCAAGCACTGAAAAAGGCTGACCAGGGACTATGTGGACCCTCCACCCTTTGAGATTTTTGGGACAGAGTTTAGCAATGGGACTGAGTAACTCAAGTTGGTGGCTGGACTTAAAGGTCTTTCCAACCTAAATGATTCTAACATTTTCTGAGTGACATCAGTGTGGAACCAAAAAGATGAATGTCTAAAGAAACAAGCTGTAAAGAAAGGAATTCACCAAAATACAGGACCTCTTAAAGACTCCACGAGTCTGGAGTCACCATATAAGAACCACTAGCTGGTATTTCAACTAGCCTTCAGTGCTCATTTGTGCGCTTCCTAAGGCAAACAGAACTACGGGAACAAAACAGAAGGCTTTCACCTTTCCCCTTACTGGTGAGAACCAAAAACCAGACACACAGTCATCCTGTGGGCAGATTCCAAGAAAAGCAGGCCAGTACATTTAAACAGCAGAAAGCAGTAGCCAAAAAGGACAGGATTGTAACCTGTTTTTAATTCCCATTTTAAAATAACGCTGTTGTTGTAGCCATGACAGTTTAAAGCTATCACACAGGCAAAGTAATGATATACAGTTCATGTTTTATTAGATCAGTTGTTGTAACCTTGAGGCAAAAAATAAAAGCCTTCAAATCCTCAGTCTGTCTCTAAGCTTCTTCATCCAAACATTCCATTTTCTCTAACTATATTAAGCTTTACTAACTTGTACAAATATTGGTTCAGATCTTTCAGGCATTGTTAATACTAGTAAATAAGTGACAACTTGGATTAAGAATGCTGCCTGCTTATGACGTACGTAACTGCTCAAACATTTTTAAAAATACAGGGATTACTATAAAAATAAGAACTTGCAAAATCTGACCCTCTGGTATAGTAAAACTGAAGTGACACAGAGTATTCAGAATATTCAGATAGAAGATAGAGATATGGTTGTCTGTAACTGTGATATATTACTGGTTTTGATGTTTATTAAAATGTTTATGCTGAAAACCTACAAGGAGCTTCACAAATTTCCATTCCACAAGTTAATCATAAGAGTAAGAACGATTTCTAGTGCTGAACATAAACTGAACAAAACTGTAATTATATTAGGGAATAAAATGCAATATCAAGTAAATCTTGTGTTGTAGAGAACTGCCTTCTGACTTATTTTTCCTCTTCTATCTGATTGATATCATTCAAAATTGCTGCCTTCAAAGAAACTTGTGTCCAGCTGGATGACAGTGTTATCCAATCAACATAAGCACTGTTCTTTCACCCTTTCTCACATCACTTGAGTCAACAGCAGGGAACTGACTACTGTCTGCTGAACCCAGCAGTGTCAGCTTCCTTGTATTCCCCTTTGAAAATACTATTGTTCTAATGCAGCAGAATTTAAATAAAATAAACCCTTAAGCATCTTTTCTAAAGTCAATTCAGCACTTAATCCTATCCAAAGAAAACCTTGGCCACACTGGTAGTAGCGATCGGCTTGCTTCAGCTTAACAAAATTGAGTCTGAAAGCTTATATACACAATCTTACATTAGAGGTAATCCTAAGGTAATGCTACTGATGCCAAAGGATAACACTGACTCAATATCAAATGGAGATAAAACAGGACAAATACCTAAAAATTCTTATGAACAATAATTTATTGAACTGTGAAACAGACTTTGAATACAAGTAGAAGTGAACTCTAAATTCTAACTCAGAGCTTACTAAGTTCATGCAAAGGACTGTAAATGAAATAATTCACATCATACTGTACAACAGTGTAAGACACTAAAAAAGAGGATAAAATAATCAAGAAGACTGACTTCTAATGCACACTGGTAAACTATTTCAAGCATGAAAGAAATGCTGTTACCATTCCTATCTTACCAAAAACTTCAGGTCTCACTGTATTACTTAAGTAAATCGTTACTCTAAATTGGGAAGAGGTCAGTTCTGTTGACCCTCTCCCACCCCTGAGGAAAAAAATATCCACAGATTAATAGAAAAGTCCTTCTAAGACCTTGCTTAAAGATGAAATAGGGAGCTATACTGAGTCAGATTTTCTTATTTGTTAGAGCACTGTAACTAAAGATGTTAAGCAATATTAAGCAGCAGGACCAAGTTATTAATGTGCTGAATATCCTTTCTCATGGGAGAAGCCATGCTAGTATTTTAGATAAGTTTACATTTTCTATTATACTGGTGGTTATACTTTCTGTATGACTAAACAGAGCAGCAAACTAGTCGACAATTACTTACTTAGGAACCCAGAAAAAGCTGTAAGCATAACATAACGCAAGGCTGTTATGCTTTTACTTAGCGAAAAAGGACTTTCTTTTCTAATGATGGTCATTGAGGGCAGCAGGTTACTAAAACGAACTGGATGCAGAACGGGTTTTGGAAAAAAAAGAGCAACAAGTCTTCAGGAGCTACTGCAGATGTGAGAAGCAGATTGATCAAACAATGGAGAACTCAGAAGGACATCTAAGCTAAGAGTCTAGGTACTAGCAAAAAGACTTGTCAAAAGTTCTGTTCAAAATCTTTAAAATAAGATCTCCATCCAGACAATGAGCAATTGGCCACCACACTGAGTCAGTGACCACTGATAATCCTCCGATTACATTTTTGAAATGATATTATCATTATTTACAAATGCAGAAGAAAAATCTTCAGTTAACAGCAGCATTACATCCAACTTCTGTACATTTTCACTACGCTTTTTGCATTCTCCTAAACATCTTGTTAAATTAAAAAAGGACATCATTCCATATGCTTAGTATAGATACTTCCCAGCAGTTACTTGCTTTTATTTATTATTCAGTAAAAGCTGTTCGTGGTCATAATTTACTATTCAAAACCATTTACTGTAATGCTTTACCAGAGAAGATCATCTACATTGGAAAATTTTGCATTTATTACTGAAACAAAATAGGACAACCTGCAGCTCATAAATAAATAGAACAGCAGTTGCCATCATTAGGACAATGAATTTTAATTAATACCGAACTCTGAGTATTTGTTTCATATTCATTTTGACACACACATGTGTTTGTTATGAAACAAGTTATTTTCTTTATCCATTCTGTCTCTATTATTCTATAACAAATCTTCAATTAATGCCAACAAATCTTACGCACTTAACCTAGCCTAAATCTGTCTCTCTCTAACATCAAGGAGTAGACATAGGAAGATACAATAAAATAGTTAGACCAAGAGTTAATTCAATTAACAAGAGTCAGCTCTGTGTGATATTTACAATAGGTTCAGCACACATTGCACTCAATAACCTGCAGAAAGAACATCACACTGCTGAGCATCAAGGGAAAAGATGTATTTTCAAGTTAGGGCTTAAGTAGCTTAAGGGAGGAATGTCACTTTTAATGAAATTTGCACTGTAGTCTGAAATAGCTTTCTAACTGGAACAAAAGACAATCTTCTGATCAGACTAAACTACTTCAAAATTTTAAAATACAATCCACATGGATCATCAAGGATCCCAACAAGCCAAAACAGTGATGAAATACAAACTGCAAAATTTTGGACTTCTCAAACACTTACATGCCAAAAAACAAAGTTTTGAAAATTCTGAAAGGGTATTTAACAGTAATCCAGGTTTTCTGAATTTAAATTCAGAATTTAAATTGTAAATCTCTAATATTTATTCACTAAATGACACTGACTCCATTTTTAATCTCTAAATCTCTTACCTTAACATTTTCACAATTCAAACAGTTTATCTTTTTTTTTACAGTCTACAGATCACCAAATATTTCAGGAATCTCATGCAAGATGAAGGGCAGAGGAATAAGCTGAATACAGCTTTACTTCCTTCCCTCCTTCCTACACTATCAGTGTAAGAACAGTAAGTGTTCGAGTTACTTACAGATGAACAGCCATCATCTTTGCCACTTACCACTGGTTGGCTGCAAAGGTAGCGGCAGAGTTCCCCAATGTACTGGATGACAGTCACATTGTACTTTTTGCAGTCACTCCAGAACTGACTAGCTGAGAACTTCTTTCTTAAGACACACGTTGCTCCTTAATGGAAATAATAGGAAAAGAAATCAGTTTTTTTTCTGTAAATGGCAGCTTATCTAGCTGTGTTTATATCTGCCGGTCTTCTTAAGTTCACCAAAGAACATTTTATTATATTGCAGTGTATACAATACTTAGTCTGTACACACACTAATGTGCTACACACACTACCAAAATACATGCTTCTAAGTTTCTTTTTACCAAAATACAAAAAAAAAAAAAAAAAAAGTATAAACATTTTTGACCCAAATAACTACATAATCCTTGTCCAAAGATAACTGGCAAAAGAGGTCCTCCTCTACTACAAGACCCTCCCACCCTCTCAAAATGCAGAACCATAAACCTATTCAGAAAAGAATGTTCATTGATTTAGTTTCTGTAAAAGCAGTGAACCCAAATTTGTTTAAACACATTTTTTATAATAATTAATTCTATATCAAAAATTAAATAAATCCTACCTAATTCAATGCATCCACCAATACCAAGAAGAGATGCTGCACTGTGATAAAGAGGCAGAGTAATATAAATTATGTCTTCTGCAGTAGCACCAAAAGCCCAGAGTCCAGCAGCTCCTTTAAGAACTTGCATGTGACTGATGACTGCAGCCTTTGGAAGACCTGTAATGAAAACACAATACTCTGCATAAAGCTTACCTTCAAGAGAAGCCATTTTTTTCTTACAAAGTGATTTCTTTAAAATCATAACTGTATCAGAATTTTGATAGACACCTATTCAGCTAAATAGACAACTGTAAGTACCGTATTGTATGTTTGTTTTTTACATATAGCAACACATCAGACAGTTTGTAACCTCATGTGTTAGGTATTACATCTGATGTAAAACAATTCAAATAAGAGAAAACAAAGAGAAAACATGACCAATACACTATCTAATTATACAAAACTAACAAAGGGTCAGCTATATATATGAACTTCATTCAACATAAAGCAGAATAGATCCTTTTCAGGCAAGAGAGTCCAACCTAATTAAGAAACTATGCAATCTGCACCAGGTAGATGAAGTAGAGTACACTTATCTAAACATATGTTCATCTAAGTTTAGCAAATTGTTTTCGAACACTGTGAAGACTATGTAGAATTTAATGCAATCTAGTAAAAGATGCAAAAAGTCTATTCCAATTATGTTCTTCTCAAGGAGATTCTTGATTTTCAGTACAGAATATCTGTACTGAATCTGACTTATAAAGGTCACTGTGAATAAGTACTCTGGTACTTGTTATTTTGAATGGGGGATGTGATCTTGCTCAGTATTTGTTCTCTAGTACATGCAAAAATTTCGAACTTAGTCTTCTTGATGAACAGTACAACCTATTTAAATTTTTAAAAAATGTAGTGGATCTCAGAAAGCTTTATCACTTCTTCTACTGAAGCTACTGTCATTTTGAAAACTAATTAGAGCTGTTAAGTGGAAGCATAATCTATGGAGATTCTAATTAAAAGTTATTCCAAAACTCATCACAATAAAGAGAAAATGCAATAAATCCATTTTGTCAAGCAAAAAGGAATTCCAATGGAATAGGTTGCCCAGGGAGCTTGTGGGGTCTCCACCCTTGGAGATCTTCAAAAGCTGCCTTAGGCATGGTCCTGAGCTGGTGTGTGTCTGTGCTTTAGCGGAGGGGTTCAGCCAGATAACCTCAGGTGGCCCTTGCAACTTCAGCTATTCTGTGATTTTGAGATTCTGTGAAGTGCTCTGGAGAGTCTTGAGTTCTTTCTTTCTGCTGCTATAAACAGCTGACTACAGGCTAAGCAAGACAGTACTTTAAAGCAACCTAAGAGCCAATGATTTTATACTAGACACTAGGCTCTTGCATTATCAAAAGTGCTTAAATGTTGACTTACTTTAGATTAAAACTAGGTATCCCAGACTCCTCAAGCTAAGTAAGTCTTATCCTTCTAATTACATTGCACAGGAATAAAAAAAATGCAATGTAAACCAATATAATACATACAGGTATCCCGTAACATCCTTCTCTCCAAATTGGAAAAATATGGATCAGATGCATGGACTGGTCAATGGATGAAGAACTGGCTGCAGGATCAAGTCCAGACAGTGGTGGCCAATGTCTCAGTGTCTGAATGGAGATCAGTGACGAGTGGTGTTGCACAAGATGTCAGAGGTGGGACTGATACTTTTTAATATCTTCATCAATGACGTGGACAGGGGAGTCAAGTGCACCCTCAGCAAATTTGCTTATGACACCAAGCTGTGGGGTGCAGTTGACACACGAGAGGGACCTGGGACCTAGACAGGCTTGAGCATTGGGCCCATGTGAATCTCATGAGGTTCAGCAAATCCAAATACAAAGTCTTGCGCTTGGGTTGAGACAACATCCACTACCAATACAACCTGGGAGATGTAAGCATTGAGTGCAGCCCTGCCAAAAAAGACCTGGGGATACTGGTGGATGGCAAGCTGTACATAAACCAGCCAATATGCCTTTGCCACTCAAACAAATCCTGGGCTGCATTGAAGGAAGTGTGGCTAGCAGGGCAAGGTAGGAGATCCTGCTCCTCTACTTGTGCTGATGAGGCTTCGCCTGGAGTACTGTGTCCAGATGGGGAGTCTTCTATACAGGAGAGACTTAGACTGTTGGAGCACATTCAGAGAAGGGCCACAAAAATTATCCAAGTGATGGAGCACCTCTCCCACAAGGACAGGCTGAAAGACCTGGGGCTATCCAGCCTGCAGAAGAGAAGGCTCTGAGGTAACCTGATAGCGACCTTTCAATATCTGAAGGGGAGCTACAGGAAAAAGGGGACAGACTCTTTAGCAGGGTCTGTTGTGATAGGACACAAAGGTGAAATGGTTTCAAGTTTAAAGAGGAAAGATTTAGTTGAGTTACAAAGAAAAAGTCTTTTACAGTGAGGGTGGTGTGGCACTGGAACAGGTTGCCCAGGGATGTGGTTGATGCCCCATCCCTGGAGACTGTCAAGGCGAAGCTGGATCAAGTCCTGGCAAGCTGATCTGGCTGCACACGTCCACGTTCTTTGCAAAGGATTTGGACTAGATAACCTTTAAAAGTCTTTTCCAACTCTAAGGATTCTTTTCATCTATGATATGTGTTAGTGTTATTATAGCATTATTATACAGCTGACATCTGGACATTTTGAGCTTTTTAATTTTTTTTTATTCCAGACCAACATTTTTACTTTTTAGATCTTCTCCTAGATGCAGAAATAAATATACTAAATAATTATGTATATGAAGGAAAAAAAAAAAAAAAAAAAAAAAAATCTTCATTTAATTCCTCCTGTAGCTAAAACTGAATGAGAATGCCAATCCACTTATTTTAGCAACATCATGCTCCTTTTCAAGTCAGTTGTTTGTGGGGTTTTTTTTTGTTTTGTTTTCAGTCTTAGCTTCTTAGCTGCTGGACAACTGGTATTAAATTCAACCATCTGTTTCTACACTAAAAGTCTAATAACTTAATCCTATTTTCAGTCAATACATAGAGCATGACTTAATGAAGAAAAAATGTCTATTTGCTTGTTTTTTAAAGTTCTGGATACAATGTTAGGATGTTAGCTGTAAAAACAGGGAAAAACATTTTATAAACACCTCAGCAGTTAACTAGGTAGCAAAGCTTCTCTCACAGTATTTGTACAATCTAGCAAATAAAAAAAAGAAAAAGCACACAATATTTTGAATATAAACATTCATCAGCAAGAAGAATGCTTATTTCCCTCCAAAATGATATGAAGTATGATATTCCTTTATAAAAAGATTAATCAAAAGATGAGAGTGTTAAAAATAAATAAATAAATAAAAGAAATCAAGCTTGTAAATGACAGCTTTAAGAAAATATTATCTCTTTAGCATACTTGTACCTGTTGTTCCTGAAGTAAATATGTATAAAACAGAAGATTTGAGGTTACTGGCCGAGCGTCGACTAACTGGAACAGGGTCTTCAGATGCTGCCTCCATTTTGTCTAAAAGGCTATGCACACTTGGAAAAGTGGAATCCTTGGACATTACCCAAACACTGATGTCTTTCTGGAGGTAAGGAAGAATTTCTTCTAAAGTTCCAAGCAAATCTTAAAATTCAATATAAAATAATGTTAGTTAGATTATGTCTCCAAAAAGTAAATGCAAGTAAGATACACTTCCTCTGAAAGTTTTAATTTTTATAACAGAAAGAGAAATGTTCTTCAATCATTTTCATTGATGTAAATAAATAAAATAGTGATGAGTTGGACTGGAAATTGAATGAAAACAGGATCTAAAATAATAAGAGTACTGCTGACTCTACAGTGTCTAATTGTTATCTAGCTCTTATGGCAAAATGGTGATCCCTGATCACTAGCTCCTGCTCTCCTGCTTACCACTGCATTTTTGACAACTCTTTGTCATTGCTAACAATAGAAAGAGGCATCATTAAGCTTTAAATTCGAATAAAAGATGAATAAGTATTAAAGATGAATGGCAGATACATACACAGCCAACAGTAATAGCACAGGTTGCCCTGGATGTCCTCAACAGCAATCTCTTGAATAGAGGGTCTTTTTCTCAAAAGCAGAGAAGTTATTCAGATGAGGGGCAAAAAAAAAGGAAAAGGAAGGAAGGAAGGGAGGAAGGGAGGAAGGGAGGAAGGGAGGAAGGGAGGAAGGGAGGAAGGGAGGAAGGGAGGAAGGGAGGAAGGGAGGGAGGAAAAGATTAAAAGAAAAAAAAAAAAAAAACAAGGAAAAAAAGCCAATGTATCATGTGTATGGACACCAGAATTTCAAAGAAAAGAAAAATGATACAGTCCTGGTGGCTTATTCAGACACTTTCAAAAAAAGCATGTGGCTATTTCTGCAGTTCCTCAACTTAATCTTCCCCTGAATCTAATTTTATGTATCAAACATTTTATTTATTTATAACTACACGTTTATTCACAAATAACACTCCTTCTATGAGCTTTTACCTGAGTTTAAATGCAAACTCACTTTTATAAAATAAAATCAGTAGTGTAGATAAGATGTATGTTGTTTGCTTAAACAGGAAAGAAACTGAGAAAGTCCAAGATTAAATAGAAATAATATGAACAAAGACCAATTCCTAAGTAATAAATTTGGTATTAATATTTTTAAGCATTTTTTTCAATTTCCATCATTTTTTCAAACTTTCATAGAGTATCAAACAAATATTAAAGTACTAATCCAGCAAATTTCTTAGGTGTAGGAACAGTTGTATTGCTTTCAACAGAACCATTCATATACTTAAAGATACGTTTACACTTAAGTGCATTACTGGACCTCAGCCTACATAATTAATCTTGTAAATATCCCCATGGGTATAAATGTATGTTATTATCTCAAGTTTTTTAAATGAATAAACAAATAAAGAACCTCAGAACCTCATAGTGAAGCACTGCCAGAGCCAGCATTTGAATTCCTGAGGCCAACCCCAAGCTCATTTTGCAAATACTAAATATGAGTATCATCAATAGAACTCTTTTGCATATACTGTACACCATAACAGTGCAAGATATTTAATCACTCAAAAAATATTTTCCTCTTGACAGACTAATGTATATGTTTTAGTGAATGACACTTCTATTATCTTAACAGAGATACAGCCTCCCATCCCCCACTACATGAATGCCTTATAAACCTGAAGATGACAGAGGATGGCTTCTGCATGTTTTGTAAATCTTTAGCAAATGTATCTGATGGGGTGTGACATAATCATTTTTGCATCCTAGCTCCTTTCACTATAGAATTATTTCCAGAAGATATCATCCAAATAATAAGGAGAATCTAAAAGAGCACCCTAGTTGAATAATGTGAGTACAGTCCCCTTTCACTCACTATATAAAGCAATAGAACACAATAATGAGAAAGAAAAGTCATTTTAAGCAGTGTTGACTGAAGGAAATCTTAAACAGTGAAAATTCATGTTCTCTCAACAGTAATTCTCCTTTGCTGTCACATTATAAAATTAGGGCATATTTTTCTATTCATAAATAAATATTAAAGTACAAGAGTAGTATTTCTAATGATTAACAGCTGTTAATAAACTAAGGACTAAATGACTATGTTGCTTCTAAATATACTGGTAGTTTGTGGTTTGTGCAGGTACAGGTTAGACTGAGAGAAACAAAAGTGTATTTGAAGTGGCTGGAGCTCAATTTCTGTTCTCAAAAATAGTAAAATAGTACTAAATCCGTTACAGATTATTGACTGTGTTGGCATAGGCACCAATTATCGTGCCAGCAGAGATGTTAAGGACAGTTAAGAATTGTTCATAGTTAGTATTAAGGATTTCTCAATTTCTGCAACTTCTAGGAATTAGACATACCAAACTCAGCTGGCCACATTGTGTAGCATCTTCACCAGACAGTCAGTGTGGTGTACTGATACTAAGCACTCAATTGAAGTTACTAAGTAAAATCTTCCTGTGTAACTGAGCACGTAACTGAAAATGAAACTTTTCCTTTGGTTGAATTACTGGCTGAATTACTGTCATGGTTTTATGGTTTTTGTTATTAGCGTTCCGCATCACAGCATCGTGTAAAGCACTGGGAGTTAAAGAGTCAACCCCTCGCTTCCTTGGACCCCCTGTTTTCTGAATAGCTGGCTCTCAGAAGAGAAGGACTACATACCCTGGAGAACTTTGTGCTCAGAGGGGAAGATAAAGCTGGCAAGTCACAGGACTCGCTCTCTCTGTCGCTGCCTGGCAGCGTGTGGCATTTCTCCTTCAGTTCAGAGTAAGGCCTTCAGTTTTGGACCCTCTCTCTCTCTCTTTATAAGCCTCAATTCCAATTATACGTTGTATTATGTTGTATTACCTTCCGTTCTGATGTCCTATTTAGCACATTCACTTTCCTGCTCAGATCATTGCCACTGTTCTTAAGCCCATCTCCCAGCCATTCCCCTCTCCCTTTCCCAGGGTTTGGATCTGTAGGTTCCCTGCCCCATTAGTGACAGCACCAGCTGAACCAGTAAAATATCAACATCCTTCCCTCCCCTTTTCTGGGCCAGTGGGCCTATCCCAGTCACAGATAGCTCTGGAGATAACTGCATAACAATTACAAACTGCCTTCTTGCAAAATGCCCGCAGAACTCAAGCACAACTACAAACCAGTATCACTGTTTTTAAGTAATGCAGATACCAAAGAGGCCATTACTGAATTTCTTTATTTTCCATAGCTAGATTCATCACTCCTTGAGTTCCTTCTAATTGTTCTGTCTTCCATGTTTTTGACAGTAATAAAAATGAAGGTGTAATGCTGGCCTATTGCTATTTTCTGTGCAGAAGATATTTTTGCTTAGAAGTACATAATAAAGAGAAATTCACAAATATTTCAGATGTGTTTTTCTTGATTTCTTTTTTTTTCTTTTTTTTTTGCTTTTTTTATTATTCAGAAATTCCAGATAAGGTATGCACCTACTTCTTTAAGTGTTTGAGAAATGAGAACTTCAAAAAAAAAAAAAAGAGGATTTCTCTCTAATTTCTTTTTTTCTTCTTTTCCTTTCTTTATTTGAGGAAAGAAAATGCTAACTACTAATATCAACTTCACATGTATAATCATTTAATATTAAAGAATAACAGAAGGGAATAACTCCCTTTTAGTAGAGTGAAACGTTTTTACTGTAAATAATAAAGATCCAACTTCAGATTAGAAATGCATGCTGTGTGCTGTTTCTCAGCTCATACAACCAAGGACTGTTTCTGTTGTACAAGCACTTGTTATTTTTTTTTTTTTTAACTGTTATTGAACATTAGTTCTGTGAGTAAATCATACAACAGAACAGCATTTTTCTTTTTTGTTCAGGAACCTGTTACTTGGAGCAATATGTGAACAGTCTGTAAATGATAAATAAAGGGTAATTTAAAACTGCAGTTCTGGAAGTGCCAGAAGCATAAAATTACTTCTGGAACAGGAATGAACAAGGGATATTGGAAGACAGAACTCTCAGCTGTGCTGAGGCATTTCCAAAGAATAATTCAGATGACAGTCAACTCGTATTTTGTTCCATGAACAGAGAATTTACGTGCCTGATCTTGCATACAGCTCACTGGTCTTTACATCCTGTCTTTGTGTCAAAAATAAACAGTCCTCTTAGAGGAACTACTACATTTCAGCATTTCTAGAGGTACCTGGCATGTGTACTTAACCACATAGTAAAGAAATAATAGTAAAGCAATTTAGCTATTTAAATCTGTGGTTTCTCACACGTACTTGTTTGCTCTTTAAACTATGAAATTTTGATCAGGTTTTGGTTTATTTGTTTTAGAAGAAATGACTTTATCTAATGTTTTGCAATATAGACAGCAGCTCTGTGTGCTCTGTTTACATAGTTAGTATATGAATATTCACCACTGCTATCTATGTGGCTTCTAGTGGAGAAAAAAAAAATTATAATTTGTCAAAATGAATATGCTTCTCCAAATATTTTTTTCCCTTTTTAGCAACTCACTGTTTAACAAAATGCTCATGAAACTGTGTCACATTAAGTTCACATGCATATATAAACAAACATCTTTTGAGGATCTTTTAAGAAAGAAAGGGAAGCACGCTTTGGTTATAAGCAACTGTCCTACACTGCAAGGTGTACAAAAGGTTTTTTTATATATTATTTCCTAGGAAAAATACAATGTGGCCTGTTTGCAAACAAACAAGAGTCCTACACTGACGAAAGGAATTACGGTCACGAGATAGATTTGCATTGAACAAAAAGTTACTGAGAAAGCAAGCTGTATGAAATTGTCCTTACATAAATATGATGAGCACCCTGACTCAGTAAACTACGGCATGTCCAAACTATTTCCCACACTGTCTGGCATCAGAAAAATTACTGTTACCTGTACCTGATCCCCAAGTGGCTCCTTATACTCAGTGTCTGTTCTCACTAAGCAGGAAGAACAGAAATTTCTTGAATCACTGTAAGCAGAAAACATTCAGTGGGCACAATCTTCCCCTCAAAGGATATCTTGGGACAAAGACAAAGGTTGAAATAAAACAAATGATCAAAGAGACAGACTGTCAAATAGAACTGTTAAGAGGGTTTTCTGCAGGTCTGCTATGCTTTCCTTGTCCTGTATGTTTAGGTCCAGATACCTTTGATCACTTATTTCAAAGTTCAGAAAAGATAAATTCTTACAAAATCCTTTTTTTTTTTTTTTACCCAATGACTTCCACATGAAAGATGACACTGCTATTTGTACATAATACCATAAATAATTTAAAAATACCACAAATATTTTCTTTATTCCTTTTCTCCAGCCTGTAGACACATTTCTGTCTGAACTTTACCTCTATCAGCATAAACCGTGGTTCTGAGCTCAAATAACTGACAAAAGCAGTTAGATTACACTGAGCAGCACAAAGTACTGCTGATGCCTAAAGAGTAAAGAACTCTGGCCAGGAAAATGCCGTACTTTGCACAGCTGAAAGATATCATTCTGAATGGCAGAATCACAGAATGGATGAGGTTAGAAGGGACTGACTGTCAGAGGTCACCTTAGTCCTACACAGTCATGGTTTCACTTAAACACAATCATTTAAGAGCAGTTGCTCAAGCACATACACACAGCCATGTACTCTGAATAGTCTTTGCTGTCAGGGCTGTTTTAACACAATCCTTTTACAGCTAAATCCTTGAATCAGAAGTATCGATGGCATTCAAGCTCAGCTGAACTCCTTCCAGTAGCAGCGTGCTATAAATGCACTAACAAATTCCATTTATATCTTTCGGGTTGGTCACTAGATTATGATTGGTTTTTTTATGGTATTGCTTTTATACAGCAGAGATAAAATATAAGTTTCTTGTTCAAGCAAGACTTGAATTAATAGAAATATTCCCTAGAAAGCCCACAGTGCCTTAAAAGTTAAAGCAGAACTCAATATCTTAATCTTCTGTTTATACTCGTAATATTTAAATAAATAAGGGCGACAGAATCTGGCAATAAATTAGTAAGAATAAGCAGATCAGATTCCCGATAAACTGACAATTTGATAGGCAGAGGGCATACAGCTTCCTTTTTCTCCTTCACAAGTTCCTTACTTCCTACCTCTTGGACAGCTGTTGACTTATTAAAAACACAGTTTCAAGCCTCTGACTCTTAAAACAAGTATTCTCCAGAATGGGAGTGGTGATAGAAAGTTTCTGAAGATGGAAGACTGAAAACGTTAGATAAGAAACAAAAGCAGGATCTAAAAATCCCAAAGTCATTGAAATGCTTTTGAAAAGACAGCAAATGAAAACAGCTAAAGCAAAAAATTTGTTCTAAATTACAATGCCAAGTGAAAATACTAAAAAGGAACACAAAGTATATATATTGGCAAAACAGACAATCTGCATGTGCCTTACAGGCAAATCTAACGAGAATAATCTAATTTACTAGGTTATATTAAATGAACCACAAGAATACTGCTATTCTGCAAAAAATCCAACTTTCTAGAGATACTCATTTCACATAAGAAACCAACAAGAAGGGAGACATTTTGCAGCTCTTCTAGCATATGAGAAGAAACAAAGCTTCAGGCATTCTGCAACCTTTCTGCAACTAAATCAAAATGAAACCCCAAAACATCAGTTCTACAAGAAAACTTGAATCCGAAGTCAGAAACAGCAGAGAGAATATCACAGATTTGTCAGACAAGAACAAGATCTGACTGCAAGTGCTGTAGGAAAGATTATACTAAACCACAGCCTCTGAAAAATTTGCAGACAGAAAAGACAACTTAGGAGTACAGAGTCCACAAATTAGAGTGACCTTGCAAGAATCAACATGAAAGGCATGGAAGAAAATGTAACCATCAATACCACCCAATCTGGAGAGAAAGTTAAAGCATACTGAAAAAAATGACAAGATATACCAAAAGAAGAAATAAGATGCAATTGTCACATACAGAGGAAGACTACACCAATGTATTCTGAGCAGAGATTTGTCAATAAACAATTGATCTGTGAGTAGTGACGCAGATATAAACAGAAAGTTGAAGGTCCACTGTCACAGAAATGAAATTTAATTGGATTTAAATGCAGATTCAGATTTAAATCCAGATTTAATGTGCCACTAACAGGCACAAATTTCAAGAGAAAATCTGGTCCTGCTGAGCACAGACAGTTAATGACCAAAATGTGACAGGACAATTTCCACTGTGCTGCAGTGTTAACTAGATCAAAGGTAATCCAAAATATTGAAGAGACAGCTTTGTAACTCTTTAAATGGAATTGTTAACAGAAGTTGGAACACAAGTTGAGTGTTTTCAGTGTATGTCTTTTGCAACAGAATATCCAATTTAGTATGCTGAGTTCAGGCTACCTACAGTCCTGTAGAAAAGAGCATCAAAAGAGCAAAGCACACAAGAAAAACTCAGTTCGTACCTACTGATAAGGTAGGAAACACAAATACTGGATGAAAAGATGTTAGTACACCTCCGAGAATTTATCTGATCAACTGTGCAGTATTAAATACTGACCTGCAATGTTTATAAATATTAAGGGGTACTATGTGTGATAACAGTGTATGATCCAAGCTTTTGTTTCAAGTGAATCAGCCCTCACTGCCTCCGAACAGCGTGTTAACCTTCAACTCGAAAACACAGATCTCTTTGGAGAGGCTGCTTCTCCATATGACATGGCCAACAAACAAGTACAAAGCAGAGCTTCAGCTTCTTTCACAGAGATGGGCAAAAAGCTCCTAAATCCTGAAGAATTCTGTAAAGCCTTATACCTCAAGGGTCTGAGGAACTGAACGCAGAGATCCACGAATAAAGTAAGAACACCACCACGTAAAAGACCAACTCAGAGACTGGCTGTTGGTATTACCTGCTTACACAGAGCTTTTCTCCTCTGAGCTGAGATGGCAGACTCAAAAAATAACCACAGACAGTGCTTAAGAACTGCCTTAAGATTAAATCAGTTCCTCAGTCAGTAGACTTAAAAGCGCGTATTTAAGAGAGTGTGTTAAATGAGTTATTCTTTTAATTAAGTAAGAAGGCAAAACTTAAAACTGACAGTTCAGAAACACTGTCACCATATGCTTTGGGATTGTATTTAAAGTCAGCTCTTGCTTCCTTATTTAGTTATTAAGTACTCTATTACTCTTAAACCAGCACAGCACATACAATTGGAACTACATAATAATTTAAAAGTATGTAAGGGAAAAATATTAAATACAACCATGAAAGCAGAAATTTTCAGCAGCAGCATAAAGCAGACAGAAGGAAATTTAACCAGTTAGGTCTTGTGAATATCAAGCCCTGCAAACTTTGTTAACAGGAACAGGATAAGAGGATGTGAATTAGACATAAGGCATAACATTTGAAATAATAGTTTTAGAGAGGCAGAATGACACTAACATTTCAAATTTTGAACTATTCTCTTTCACCCAATGAGTCACAGTTCTACAAGATCCTGTGGTATTGTGGGTTTCACCAACAGTTGATCAAAAAGGTAGAGGTGCTCAGGAGCCCAATTTTAGGTTATATCTCTCTGGCTTTGGTTTACAGATCTCTATAACTGAATCTTAACTGCAAAAAATGCACAGTATATCTACATCAAGTTTTTAAATTATTTTTAAGTATATAAAAAAAATGCAGTGGATAAAACACAAAAAACACTGTCATCACCTAATGAAATACAGCAATCTCTTCTATAATCTTCTACTTACAAGGTAAGTTGGTTATTGCAAATCAGCCTTCTACATGCTACACCTATAAAGTAAAACTCCCAGTTCTAGATTCTGGGAAACAGACATACCTTTGTGAATAGCTGTAAAGAAGAACCTGCATAGCTCATAGCTATGGTACAAACCTTCTGGTTTTAACTACTACAAGAATGGTAGAATAGTTCCGAAAAATAAAATTCATTACTTGGATAACATAAAAATTGACTGTTTCAAACAGAGTGGGAAACTGTTCTCATTACCTCATTTTAATGGTCTCTGAGACATATTAGGTAATTCCTGAAGTAATGAAACATTTGGAACAAGCTACGTGCAGATGTTGCAAACTCTTCTGCAATGAATACCGTCAAGAACAGGTTAAATCCATGCCCCCAGAGCATGGATATACTTCACTTAAGTGACTTAAGCTTTATCCTGAAGCCCTGAAGGAAGAAAGCCGCAGATTTCTTTCATTCTGTGAACACCTCAAACTTTGGTTTTCAGTGAAGGTGAAGCTTTAGACATATAAATCATCTGAATACTCTACCTGCTCCCACAATCAATATCTTGGGTTCGCAGCTGGTGAGACAGTGCAGAAGAGACCTGGAGCGGACATTGAAGTTGAGGAAAGCCACCACGCATCCCAGCTTGGCCAGCCCAAACCACACGTGGATGAAGTCGGGCTCATTGCCCATCAGCAGGGCCACCGTGTCACCCTTCTTCAGAGCGCCGTGGTGAAGGAAGACCTGCGCAACTCTGTTACTGCGCCTGTCCACATCCCGGTACGAGAGCGCCTTCCCATCATAGATGAGGAATGCTTTGTGGGGCTGCTTCTCAGCCAGCTTCACAAACTTGTCCAGCACGGTGACAATCTTCCCTCTCTGCCTGTAGCTCTCCACTCTCAGCCCGTAAAGCAGCACTTTCAGCAAGTATCTCAGATCAGCCCAGAAGTAGGGGAAGAGAAGTTTCTGGATGAGATGCAAGGAGGCAATGCCGGCCGCAACGCCCGGTACCCAGGAGGGAAGAAGCATTGGGAACGGAGAGAGGTCGTCCCAGGAACGCATTTCCTTACAGCTCGGCACACGGCGCGGTACCCGGCGGGGCGCAGAGTGTAAGAAACCCAGCGGCAAGCACTCGTCTCAGCCTCAGCCTTGCCCGGAGCCGCCGGCCAGCCGCAGCCAGCTCCGCACCTGCGGAATGCGCGCACCGCGGGGAGAGGCGAGGTCAGGAGGGGCGGGAGCTCAGCACCTCCAGCCTTCCCCTCCCTCCTCGGGACTCCCGGCGCCGAGCTGCTGAAGAGGCGGCGGGGGCCGCTCCCTGAGCCGGTTGCATAAGGCGCGGGCCGTCTCACTCCACCCCGCGCTCGCATCGCGGCGGCGGCAGCACGAGCAGCTGCTGCGCGTGGTGCCGGCAGAGCAAAGGGAGCCTTGCCCCAGGCGGGCGTGCCGCGCCGTGCCCTGCAATCCATCCTTGTAGCTGTTCGGTCCTGGGATGTCCTTACGCTTCCACTCTCTGCCGAGGCGTCCAGCAGGAGTTGGGGTACACAGCCTTGACGCTAGCACAGCGTGAGCCCTGCCGTGACTTCAAGAAGTTTTGAACAGAGGAGACCAGCACCATTCCGTGGTCCCGGAAATGTGCTCGTGGCTGCCACCCAGAAATGGCAGGCTGGGTCAGGGCTGTGGGTCAGCGTACTGTGCCACGGGCTGTTTGGGTGAGGGCAGCAAAGCTGTAAAGGTCTGAAGCACAAGTCTTGGGAGGAGCAGCTAGAGGGAACTGGGATTCTTTACCGTGGGGAACAGGAGGTTCAGGGGAGGCTTTATCGCTCTCTACAGCTAGCTACCTGAAAGGAGATTATGGCAAAGTGGAGGTTGGACTCTGCGTTCGGATAACAGTGATAGAATGAGAGGTAGTGGCCTCAAGATCTGCCAGGAGAGGCTTGAGTTGTATACTAGGAAAAACTTCTTCTCAGGAAGAGCAGTAAGGTATTGGAACAGGGTGCCCAGGGAGACAGTGGAGTCACCATCACTGGAGCTGTTCAAGTAATGTGTAGATGTGGTACTGAAAGAAATGGTTAGTGGCCATGGTGGTGATGGGTTGGCAGTTGGACCTTAGAAGTCTTTTCCAACCTTAGTGATTTCACAGTTCTTTAAGAAACATCGCTGGCAAAAAGCTGTCAGCACCTGGACGCAATGTTGGTACCTCTTCTCCTGTGTCTGTCAGTGCAGACGTACCAGCATGCTGATGGAACCACACCTCCACTGTGGTTGTACGTGGTGAAACATCGAACTTGGTGTCTGTGTACTTCAAAGCAGCTGAATTTATAGTCATACAAGTCATGAAAGGATGAGGTCATATTTTGGATGACATATTTTCTGTACTTGAGCTTGATGCAAACAATTTCAGCATGCCTTGCGCATACTGACAAAAATTCAGAGGTACTTATATTAAAATTATATAGTACATGCAGTTTTTAGCACTATGTAAGCGCACTCCAGAATAATTCTGACTGTAATAAAGTCATAAAACCATAGGTACTGGTTGACAGCACGAATTCCTCTACAGTTTGAGTTCATTTTCCATACCACCTCCAGTTCTGATAACATCACAGGTCGGCCTGTTTGTTCAGCTTCACTGCACAATCTACCAGTGAAACTCAAAATTCCATCTCATAACGGTACTTCTCTGTCTTGCCTCTAAGAACAAGGCCAGATAAGGTGTGAATGCATAGACATATCTTTGTCATATTCATGCTGTCTGGACAGCTATCAGAAACAAATTAAAGCAAATGAAATTGCTCAGAACTAGATTACAAATTGATTTCATGACTCTGTAATGGCTGTAGCAGTAGTACACTGGCAGCTTTATATCAGTAGTAATGTACCTTGCTTGTAAGGTAATAAAAGTTGCAGTAGCTAATACGTACTTGATAGAGATAAATACAGAATGGGCTGTGAATAAGAACGATGTGTTTTAAATATACTGTGCTGTGAACTAAATCAGGCAGGCAGATGAGCGGAAGTCACTGAGGTGACTGACTAATGGCTAGCACATGACCAAATACATTAATCATAAGAATAGAAAGAATCATGGAATCATAGAATGGCTTGGGTTGGAAGTGACCCCAAGGATCATCAAGTTCCAACCCCCTGCCACAAGCGGGCCTGCAACTTCCAGATCTGGTACAAGACCAGGTTGCCCAGAGCCCCATCCAACCTGGTCTTCAACACCTTCAGGGATGGAGCATCCACAGTTCTCATGAGGGCAGAGTAGAGAGGGCAGTTACCTACCTCCCTGTCTCTGCTGGCCACCCCTCTTCTGATAGAGCCCGGGATACCATTGCTTTCTGAGCTGCAAGAGCACACTGCTGGCTCATATTCAGTTTCTCATCCACCAGAACCCGCAGGCCCTTCTCCACAGGGCAAAGGAAGAATTCTGTGCTGTAGACATTATTAGTGCTACTATTCCCGAAGAACTGAAATGATAAGCAAGATCCTAATATAAAGACAGTGATACTTTGAAATTTGTAGTTTTAAAGGGAAGTTCTGGTTCTGCAACCTTCCAGTTCCTCTCAACTGCGCACAGAAATCCAATCCACTATAATCATTACCCAAGTTTCCTTGTAAAGGTAATATTAATTGCCTTTCATCCTCTCAAAGGGAAAACAGAAATTTAAATACTGTATCTGTTGATTTTCAAGACTTTTATTTGTTATTTGTTATAAAATCAAGCATCAGCAGGCAAGAAATTTCAGTAAACAGTAAAAGAATTACAGAATTTAGGCAAGTAGTATTGAAAATGCTTTTGGTCCCTGCCTGTGCCAGAATTCCTGTGTGATATTAATTTCTTAAACCCTCCACCAGCTGGGTGATTTAACCAAGCTGTTTGTGTGACCTTCTTAGATTCCTGATTCATTGGTAAATCAAACAACTGTAGATTAAGACATTTGGAGCCATGCTTTAAATCAGGTTTATGCAACCCATATTACCAAGTGGGCCTGGTCAAGCAGTAATGCAGCCCTGCAAGATTGTAAAGATTGCAAAGGTTGTAAAGATTGCTTTCTGTTTTGATAAAGAAATTTGAGAACAGATTTCAAGTGGTTTTTTTTAAAATCTTTTTTTTTCTTTTGTATATTTACAACTACTTTCAGTCAACATAAATATACTGCTTGCAGATTTTCAAATGGATTGTATACAGTTGCAGTCAGCCATTTAACTCAGAGAAAAAATTGATCATATCTCTTTACTAAACCTTTTTCTTTTTTTTTTTAACCTATCCTACCAAAGAAGAGTATTTTTTGCTTTGCAGTGGAAGTTCAGATGAAGCAAAGGCGTGTCATTGAATTCCTCCATGTGAAAAGAATGGTACCTATTGACATTCACTGATGTTTGCTGACCATGTATACACCCCAAATAGTGAATGTGGGAACAGCAAGGCTGTGGGTGATATGTTTGTGCAGTGATGACACTGCCATTGAGCACCTCCACTGGTGCAGATTACAAGAGTATGACACATAGACTCTTGTTTGTCACTGGTGAAAATACATAGCTCATTGTGGTGACTATGTTGAAAAATTGCATCTGATGGTTGAGAATTTGCTCTATCAAAAAGAGTCATTGTGCTCTTTGAATCTGTTGTAGTTTCCATGGGAATAAATAGGAGGCATGGCTCTCAGAGCAAACTATCTATTTCTGTAAAATAGTTAAGAATAGCAGTGAAAATAAAGTTTCCAGAATGCATTGATCAATGAGTGTAACACATATTAATGACTTAAAAGCAAATAAATAGAAGCCACGATTTACACTGAATCTGCACTGCAATCTTGGAAAAAATTGTGTGTTAGCTTGTGATTAAAACTTTACATAAGACATACTTCCAAATGGTTAATTTGGATTGTGAAGAAATACTAATTAAGGCTAATCAAAAAAATTTAAAAAACTCATGTTTTACATGTAGTGATATGTGTATTTTGGTAAATCAAAGTCACACATTTACTCACTATTCAGCTTCTTGTTACATTTCATGAACTGGAATCTGTTTTGCTATGTAGAACCCATGCCATAGACAGACCATTGGACTCTGCATTACATAGAACACTAATTATTCTTCTCAGTTTCCCTTCAATAGAAAACGTTTTGATGCCTAAAAGGATGGTATGACCCAATAATGAAATATAAAGGAGTTTAATTTTCTTTTGTTGGAACACTGAAAAAAAAAAAATATTTTATAAAAATATTATCAGATAAAGCTAAATAATTTTCCAGTAACTTTGCAAGGTAGTAAGAAAATATACACAAATTGCTATTTCTAAAATTGTGTAGTTTCAATACACAGCTTCAGCTTAAAGGTGAGTGGTATAAATCATAATAATGGTACGGAAGGGGCCTAAGGAGGCAAGGGTTGATGCAGTAACATGGGAAGGACATTAGGGAAGGTTTTCACCTTCGTAAAGCAATGGCTTCAAGTCCAAGGAAATGAGATGTCATTTTTATAATATATTAGAATGCTTTTTAAATTGTATTTCTGTGAGGTTATTAACTTAAAATACTTACTTTACATGAACTTTTTTTTCTCTCAAGTCATTCATTATAGTATCTCAAGACTACAGATTTGTGCCAACGTTTCACAAATACAGTGAAATAACATTTCTGATAGCTGTAGCGTATTAGCAGAAAGCCTTACTGTTAGTGTTGTATAAGCATAAAAATTGTACACTTTACTACTTTCTGGGGGTTTTCTTTTACTAAGTTCCCTGGATAAATCTGTAGCTTTGCCAGAACTTATGAAACTGTATTAATTCTAAGAGCCATTGTCCTACATACTATTACAATTTCTTAATATTCTAGTAAAATTTAGCTATCCCCTTCCAGAGAAGCAAACTGTAGTATTTGGATTTTCTCATTCCTTGGACAGTTTTGTTGACTGCTGGTGAAATAAGCTCACAACAGTGAGTTTTTGGATCCTGCAAAGATAGAGTTGAGATTTATTTAGAGTTTATCATTCTGAAGTGCAAAAATCTACAGGGAAAACAAACAAACAAACAAACAAAAGACCCAACTACTTCTCTTTTTTTGCTTTTCTTTTTAAAAATTATTTACTCATTTGTACAACTGAGATGAAATGTATTAATGAAATAGAAGGTTCATATTTTACTCTGATAGCCTTGGGCAAATACAAGGGCTGCTCCAAAATTAATATCTCCTTTCTGTCTGTTTATTTCCCATGGAACTAAATTGGAGGTATTGCTTTAAGAATGACCTACATATGTTTTTGATTGTAATCCTGCTGTCTGTCATATATAGGAAATGACAACTGACCTGCCAAGGGGCACTTACCCTAACT